TTTATATCAAAATTGACAAAAAAAGGAAACGAAAATTCTAGATATTTGGTAGGCATTGACACTGCATGCCCCCCTCCTGATCCACAATGGCTGCTGGCGTTCATCCTCCGCGTGAAATATAGAAAACTTTCCGCGAAGCGTGAAGCTTCGTTGACCATTATTCCTTGTTGCTCATTTATTACGGGGGCACGTGCTCATTCCTCGCTGGATGCGACATACTGACCTGCATGTCGGTTTCCCCGTCCATACCGGCTGAGATGGCTCAAGGAATCAACTGACTTACTACAGTATCTTTGATTGACACGTGTTTTTGTTGTTAGCCCGTTGTAGACTCTTCTATTGCCAGGTATTATCAAGGAAGAAAGTCACTGAAAAATTTCAGGCAGAGTAGTCAACTTGCTAGACTCCTTAGAGATGACCGAACCTAGCTATGTTGAAAATCCGTCACTGTCTAGGACTCAAATCTCTAGGACTCCCGATCACAGGCTCTGCAGGTTTGCCCATCAGTTATTCCCTGAGACCACTCAGCCCATGCTACTCCGAACACTCCTTTGGAGTGATTAGTGTAAGCACGAAATCACTATCAGGAACAGTTAGTCAACATCAACAAACATTACCCGATGCTACTATCATTTCCCAAATTTATCGCAAGTATGGAAATCGACCCGTCACCCTTCCAATCGCAAGGCTGCCCATTAATTCCCATTGTATGCGAAGTTACTACAAGTAAATTAATATTAAAACGTATTCAAAAACTATTTTGTGCTTTTAAATTATAAAAAAAAGTGCTAAGCAGAGTGAGATATTCAATTTTTAATTGTGAATGCCTCTTGGACTGCGCGTTATAAGCCAGATGTTACAAACTAGCCGAGAGGGTTACAAAAGTAAAATTTGAATACTTTTTTTCAATGCTCTTGCATTCTTCGGATCGAATGAATTGCCTATCCGCTATCACTTTCAGTGTCCCAGTCCGGAGCAGCCAACTGCAGGGTTCGTTTTTGACCCTTTCGCTGTCCCTCCCGTGCCTTGGCCAAACCTATATTTCCCACGGAGCTTCCTTCTCTCGCGTCTCTCTGTTCCTTCCCGGCAGAAGGCCCCGCGCCCTAAAGAATATTATCATACGAGGACAATCTGAGCTACGACGGAGCTTCGTG